GCATACAGCAGACTCGGTAGCTGTACTGGCACATTAATTATGTGAGTTACTTCTATCTGGCACTACTTCTACACTTCCTCAAATTTAACAGTAATTTATTTTTGGCAGAGACTTCAATAAATTCAATCGCTGCCCTGAATACCAGCTGCAGCAGGCTGCATTTACGGCGTAGAATAGAATATGGCGCACCACACACCACACACACACACACGCGACACACACACAAGTACACATATACAACGCACTACACAACACATACACACAACACACACAGCAGCACGTCACACACATCACCCACACACCACAGCACACACCACACACACACACTCTCTCTCACACACCAGCACACACACACACACACACAACACACACACACACACACACCACACACACACAGCAGCAGCAGCAAGTTGTGACTACATATCCTGCGTGCGCAGTCAGATCGCTCGCACGATATGCCTGTTTACGGTTATAATGTTGTCTGTCGGCCGCGTCGTGATCAGACGTCGGCTCGCATGATGATGACTGATCGAGATCGATGATGATTTGATGATGATGTGATGACATGATGATGATGATGCATGATATGAATGATGATGAGTATTGTCCTGCAGTTCGACGCACCCCCGCCATCCGGCCGACCGTCGCAGCCACGCTGTGCGGATTGACTTCGTCCAGCCGACAGGACACTTTTCCGCCTGAAACAGGTTTACGAGACCACCACAGGCATCCACCACTAGGCGATGGCTTATACCTACGACGCGTATATATTCAACCATTATGCGCTGCCCGCTCCGCACGACGACTCTTCACAATTTGCGGCTCATCTTCGCGCGCGCAGTTTGCACTCTGCTTCGACGACTATTCAGGATATGCGAAGCACCATCCTGAAAGCGGACGAGGAAATTAGTTTTCAGTCGGTACACTATAGATGCCAGATTTCTCGATTCTAGTGACAGCACGCATGTATGTGCGAAAGCGAGACGAGAGAGAGAGAGAGATAGAGGAGAGAGAGAGAGAGAAAAGATAGAGAGACAGAGAGAAGAGACGAGAGAGGAGCAAGAGATGAGAGAGAGAGGAGAGAGAGAGAGAGAGAGAGAAGAAGAGAGAGGAGACAAGGAGAGACAGAGAGAGAGAAGAGGAGAGAGCGAGGGAAGGAGAGAGTGAGAGAGTGAGAGACGGGGGGGGGGAGAAGAAGCGAGAGAGAGAGAGAGAGATGAGAGAGAGAGAGAGAGGAGAGATCAGTGATAGATAGATAGATGAGTTAGATAGTCACAATAGGAGAAAAGAGAGAAGAGAGAGGATGAGAGAGAGCAGGGAGAGAGAGAGCAGAAAGAGAAGAGAGTAGTAGATAGATGATAGATAGATAGATAGATAGAACATAGATACATAGATTAGATAGATAGATAGTAGATAGATAGTAGATCGATAGCATAGATAGATAGATTAGGCATAGATAGACTAGTAATAGATGAGTAGATGCTAGATGATAGATAGATAGCATAATGATAGATAGATAGGATAGATAGTAGATAGATAGATAAATAGATAGTAATAGGATAGATAGAATAGAATTGATAATAGATTAAATATAGATAGTCTAGATCGAAAGAGCGGAAGAACAAAAGAAGGATAAAAAGCGAGTAAACGCTATGAGGTAATAGATAGAAATAATGGTATGGAAATAGTAAGAGACGAAGGGAAATGGGAAGATTGAGAGGGAAGTGCGAAGCGGCAATTATATCTCGCTTACTTCGACGAAAGCTTGCTTCTCTTCCCAAGTGGCATCATAACCATACAGTTTAAATGGACTGTGATCTACCAACCAAATCACTGTCAGTCCGACGAGGTCAGTGAGCGTGTTGCGGCGCTCTAACATTCCATTAGTTACAATATCATCGCGTAGGTTTCTAGAAATGTACAAGAACATCGTCTTTCTCGGGTTGACTGGGCACGTCATACTGAATGATTGAAAAACCGTCATTTGTAAACACGATTGTGGTCGATGCAGATTTCGAAGGGTGGTTAAATTATTGTATTGTTTTCATACATAATATCATATAATTAATAATAATAATAATAATAATAATAACAATTATTATTATTATTTATGTTATAATCTTATTGTTTCATTAACAAATTATAAATATCTACCTCTAACAAAAATGCTCGCAGTTCAACCGTGTCATATATCGGAGGTTTCGGCCACACAACCCCATCTAGACACTCCGATATGACGTTACCTGTAATATCGCACGCTAATCATTAACACATCGTTCATCATGGCTTCCATAGGAAGAGAATGAGAGCGCACGTTGCGCATAATTACACGCTGTCTGACCTTCTCCTGACCAGAAACGTTCAGAATCGCAGTTATTCTAAGTGAGATGGCTCCGTAATTATTCGCTGACGCTATTAATTATTGTTCACTAAATCATTCATGTTACGTCTTCTGACACACACACGTATACACGCACACACTCGCACACACGTACACTCACACACGCGCACACAGGCATACACTCACATGCGCGCACACCGTAACTACTGCGGCGAAAGCAACAGTAACACGCACCCCGAATACGCTCATGCGCACACACACGTACACTCACGCGCGCGCACACACACGTACACGCACCCGAACACGCACAGGCGCAGACGCTAACGCACACGCACATGTACACACGCACACGCACTCCCACACGCACGCACACGCACACGCTCACACACACGCACGCACTGCGCTCACGCGAGCACGCATACCGTATACACACGCATGCCGCACGAGCCAGCACACGTACACGCACACGCACATGTACACGCGCACGTACACTCAGACGCCCACGTAGGCCCACACGTACACGCACACGCACATGTACACGCGCACGTACACCCAGACGCCCACGTACGCCCACACGTACACGCACACGCACGCACACGCGCAATCGCACGTACACCGATAGGTACACGACGCGCACGCATGCGTAATTCGCAAACCCATGTACGCAAACATCGCTCTCCTGTCCTTGCATGTTCAAAAAACACGCCAAGTAAAAATGGATTAGGTCAGGAAAACGAGACTATTTTTTCGCCTTTAGCCATGCGGTTGGATAATGCACGTCATGCTATAGTGTTGCACACGCGTTAATTAAATAACGAGCAGCGTGACAATAACACACACGACGTAATACGAAACAGGTAGGTCCTACATGGGTAATTTTGTAAAATACAATTCGATAAGTACATGAAATTAATTAATTACACACCTCATGTGTATTTTCTACAGAGAATACACCGCCGGCACTCTGCTAGCATATAGCGTACAACCTACTGAGATCAGATTCATCTATAATGCATTGATAAATAATAGGTTTGAGTAAACATATCTCTTGAACAAAGAAAATAATGACTAACCAACTCTTTTTTTTAGAACCGAAATGATAATAGAATTTGCTGCAATTTTGAATGCTTAATGTTGCCCTTGCAATGCGTATACACATAGGAAATCTATATGCGAGTGCACGCGGTAATTTTTTCGAGATTTTAAACTGCTCCTTCCTTTTGCTCGTGTTCTACGATCTGTCACGTCTTCGCACATGCTAATTTGTGTGTTCTATTCGTCATATATAATGTGTGGCGCGTGGTGAAACACTGCTTGATAACACAGTCGTGTTTCCCAATCAGCAATTTGAAGCCGCGCTGCGCGAGAAAGAATGTAGTGCATGAGTTCGTGAGTGCGTGGAGGGCTCATGAAAGAACAGAGAACGAGAAAAAGAGGATAATGCGCGAGAGAGAGCGCGAGAGAGCGGTAGTGTGTGTGAGAGAGATAGGGGAGGAATGAAAGAAGTAGAGAGCGAGAGCGAGAGAGAAAGAGTGAGAGAGAGAAAGAGTGAGAGAGAAAAAATAGAGAATAAGAGAAAGAGAGAGACACAGAGAAAAAAAGAATAACACAGAGAGAGAAAGGGGGCGAGAGAGAAAGAGAGATAGATAGATAAAGAGAGAAAAAATAACACAGACAGAGAGAGAAAGAGAGCTATTGAGAGCTGATTACGAATACGTATATAGCGTCGGTGGAAACCGTGTATGTTTATAACACTGCTCGCGTAGGAGCGTAGGAACATTAGCGCACAGTACCACAGGCACTTGAAGCGTTTCAATAAAATATAATGCTAAATAAATACGAAATCTATTTACAACCAAATTCTTAATGTTTCTCTACTCCTCTATACTATATATATAAGTGTCAGTGTGCACAGTGCAGCCGCGCGTGAGTAATGGCGGCAGCCAGTGTTTGTTGCAGATGAGCATTTGGACGGAATTTACAGGAAACTGTCGGCAATAATAGGTGAAAGAGAGTATAAAAACATTAAGAATTTGGTAGTAAATAGATTTTGTATTTATTTAGCATTATATTTTAATGAAACGCTTCAAGTGCCTGTGCACAGTACGTATCAAACAGTGTAGCCTACGCGCTACCTCGTTATCGGTTTGCTTAATAATATAACTTCGAGATACCTGTAAGGGTGCCCGTGTACGTATGCGTGTACGTGTGCGTGTGCGTATTCGTGTACAGGTGCCTGTGCGTATACGTATAGGTATGTGCGTGCGCGCATGTGCACCGCATATACGTTTGTGGGTGTTCATGTGTATATGTGCATGCGTGCGCGCGTGCCAATTGCAACTAAAAGGTAGCTAATGGGTTGCATACTTACCTTCACTGGATCTGAGTGCCAGAAGTACACATATGCCTATTAGCTGGAAATGCCAAACAACATATATATATATATATCTATATATTTATCGTAGCAGCGATTACTTCCCTCCCCCTCCACCAACACTGATGTTAGCTGTTGTTCGTCGCCCTACTATTCTAGCAGGCGTCGACTCGTGGCCGAATCAGAGTAATTTACTTGCACTCAGCTGATAGATCTATACGAGCGAGCTTCCTCGCGGGAATTTGCAAGCGTTAAACACTGAACTAAATGTAGTTGATTGCTCACACGTTGTCTCTACCACCGTGCTGCTCCTGCACGAGGGATGTACAGAGAATCGCCGTTGTCCACTTGTTCTCTACAGTCTGAATCGAAAAGCGATATCACTGAACGCATTACAATACTTGATATTATAGCGTTTCACTGACAAAGTCGTTCGCGTGTGACTTCGCGTCAATACAAACGTTATATCTACTAGCAAATTTGTGTGTAGTTTTTGAAACGAACGCTTCTTGGAATTCGAATCAAAAGATTTAGACTCGAATCCTAGATTTTTGCCTGGTTGATTAATTGATGTGGTAAACAAATTATAGATAAATATCGATCGCTATCGGAATTAGTCGTGGTGATTGCTTACATGATGAGGATAGTTGAGTTTCACTATCAGGTCACGCGTAAATTCGTGCTTGGGAGCCATCGTTACGCTGTATACGTTCGTATGAACACGCACCGCTGAAGCAAATACGTGTGAAGAAATCATTGATTACGAATATAGGATTATGAGTATATGCGCGTACCCACTCACTAATCACTACGCATTGCCAGTATCGACGACAGTCATCGGGATCATTAGCACTCTAGTAGTAGTTTTACAACTGAATAGAAAACGCAAAAAAACTGCCAAGGTTAATGAGAAGGCGCATGATAAATGGAAGATGCAGATACTTTCCCGTTTGATGTGATGCGTTGTAAACACGATGCATGCATGCACGCTTAGCTGCCGTGTGCAGGCAGCAGCAGCAGCAGCAGTAGCAGCAGCAACAACATCAGTATCAGTAGCAGCAGCGGCAGCAACAGCAACAGCAGCAGTAGTAGTAGTAGTAGTAGTAGTAGTAGTAGTAGTAGTAGTAGTAGTAGTAGTAGTAGTAGCAGCAGCAGCAGTAGCAGCAGCACCAGTAGAAGCAGCAGCAGCAGCAACAACAGCAGCAGCAACACCAGCAGCAACAACAGAAGCAGCAACAACAACAACAGCAGCAGCAACAGCAACAACAACAGCAGCAGTAGCAGCAGCAACAACAGCAGTAGCAGCAGCAACAACAGCAACAGCAGCAGCAGAACTACGATAAAGACCCGCGCTGCATGCAAACCTGGATCCTCGCGTAGTTTTTCGTCGAGCACAACTGTTCGCTGCTGCAGCGAAGATGGCTTCATCTCTTGCAGCGGTGAGAATGGAGACGGCAGCGCCATGCTGGCCACGTACTGCGCCTGCCCTCCGTGGGATATACCTGCATTATTCATATATACTCCTATAACCGTTACTCGGCAAATCTGCGTGGTCTGTCTTAATCACCTAGTCGCGCTTTCGCTCACTCTTTAACTATTTATCGATGGATCGGGCGGTTAGTCGGTCAGTCGGTTGGTCGGCAGGTCGGTCGGTCCGTTGCTCGGTCGGTCGGTCGGACGGTCGGTCTACCTGCCTGCCCCCCTTCCTGCCTGCCTGCCTGCCTGCCTGCCTACATATCTGCCTGCTTGCCTCCCTCCTGCCTGCCTGTCTACATACCTGTCTGCCTCCCTCCCTGCCTGCCTGCCTAGTTGTCAGCCTAATTGCCTAACTTACTACTTTCTTGTCTGACGGCCTTCATGTCTGTCCATTGCCTACCCTCTACCTACTGACTCTGCTGAAGTTAGAATATGCTTAAAGAAGTATGCGAAAATCGTGAACCTACCCAATTTCAAAAGTCCTTCAAAGGTAACGGTGATCGAACCGCCATCCTCGGTTCTCAGTCCCACGTCAGCATCTCCCGCGATAGGAATGTCTACCAGCTGAAAGCGTACACCTACACACAAATTTTACACAACTCTATACGAATATTATTGGATAGATATACACCTCCTGTGGTCTCTTATGCATTTTCTTCCGAATGCCAACAGACAGGAGAAAATACTGCACGCACTAATAACAGGGATTCTACGCAAAGCATAGTCTCAGGTGATAATTAAGAGTAGGCCTACGCCGAAAACTCTCTGATCACCTAAGCTCATTATTTGAGGAGGCCGGACGATATACTCAGGCGACTCTACTCATTATTCTAATCTGTTCTATTTACATAACGGCAATTAAATATTAAGTCAAGCGTGAATAAAATATAAAAAAATATAAAATATAAATTAGTTTTTCTTTTTCTCACTCCCGATGCCATTTAAAGTGCGTACCAGCAGAACCCGCGTGTATCCAATGTTCCTTCTTGGTGCGATTAACGAAAACCGGTAGAGCAGCCTCTATGAGTTTGTCATTTGCCAGTAGCATAAACTTGGCAATCTATAATGAGAATAGAAGCAAACACAAATCTAGACGCTAAACCGAAAAATTAAAATGCCGTGTGATGTTAACAATATTGATTACACTGCGATATCATACGTTTGAGTAAATATTGTTAATAAATGATTTTGATATACAATAATAATATATTAATAATGATATTTAAAATACAAATGATTGTTGCTATTTCTATAGCACAGATAGTTCTGTACTCATTCCAACCCGTGTTTCATTGGCACGCAGGCATACAGCAGACTCGGTAGTGTACTGGCACATTAAATTAATGTGAGTTACTCTATCCTGCCACTACTTGCATACATTCCTCAAATATTAACAGTAATTTATTTTGCAGAGACTTCATAAATTTCAATGACGCCCTGAATACCAGCTGCAGCAGGCTGATTTACGGCGTAGAAATAGAATATGGCGCACACACACACACACACACACACACACACACACACACACACACACACACACACACATACACACACACACACACAACAACACACACACACACACACACACACACACACACACACACACACACACACACACACACCTCACACACACGACACACACACACAGGCGAGAGAGAAAGAGTGAGAGAGAAAAAAAGAGAATTAAGAAAAGAGAGAGACACAGAGAAAAAAAGAATAAGCACAGAGAGAGAAACGGGGCGAGAGAGAAAGAGAGATAGATAGATAAAGAGAGAAAAAATAACAGCAGACCAGAGAGAGACAGAGAGCTCATCGAGAGGCTGATTACCGAATACGTATATAGGCGTCGTGAAACCGTGTATGTTTATAACACTGCGCGCGTAGGAGCGTAGGACATTAGCGCACAGTACCACAGGCACTTAAGCGTTTCAATAAAAATAAGCTAAATAAATATCGTAAATCTATTTACTTACCGAAATTCTCTAATTTTCTACTCCTCTATACTAATATATAAGTGTATGTGCACAGTGGCAGCCGCGCGTGAGCAATGCCCGGCATCCAATGCTTGTTGCAGCATGAGCATTTGAAACAGAATTTACAGTTGAAAACCTGACGCAATAAATAGTAAAGAGAGTATAAGAAACATTAAGAATTTGGTAGTAAATACGATTCGTATTTACTTTAGGATTCAATTTTATTGAAACGCTTCAAGTGCCGTGCACAGACGTATCAAATATGTGTAGCCTAGACGCCTAACCGTCGTTTATCGTTTGCTTAATATAATATACTTCGAGATACCTGTACAGGGTGCCCGTGTACTATCTGTACGTGTGCGTGTGCGTATTCGTGTACAGTGCCTGTGCGTATACGTATAGTTTATGTACGTGCGGCTGCATGTGCACCGCGTATACGTTTGTGCGTTCATGTGTATATGTGCATGCGTGCGCGGTCCAATTGCAACTAAAAGGAGCTAATGGGTTGCATAGTCTACCTTCACTGGATCTGAGCTGCCAGAATATACACAATGCTAATTGACTTGGAATGCCAAAGCAACACATCAATATTATATATACGTATACTCTATATATTAAATATATATATCAATATATCTAATATATATATATATAGTATGTAACGATTGCGGTCTGGCCGCAGCGTCACATTCCGTGCCGTTCGCACCCGCGGTACGTCCACCAGCTCCCTTGGTGAATGTGGGCTTCGTAATGTTAGTCCGAATCCTCACGCGCATGGCCGGGCAATGTAAAACGTGTTGACACGAAGCTAGTACTGTTCAGTAGCTGCCATGTCTGAAAGGCGGAGCGACGTTTATTCAGCCCAACCGGTTCGCAGGCCACAGAGCACTGGCCTCGGCGAAATCTCGCAGGTTGGGTGCCTTGGCGAGGATCCGCGGATTGAGTCACAGTGCTGA